AAAGCTGAAAGAGACCTACCTCAGGTAATTCTTTCAGCTTAGCTTTGATGAAGTCTCAGGTAGACTGCTACTTCAGACATGGTCTAACTTGATGGAAAGCTATAAGAATGACCAGTAGTCCACAAAACTTAGTTTAAAATTTTGTTTTGTTTCATCTAGAGAGGAAGGGAACTGTAAGTCTTGAAGTAGGTTAAAAAACTATGAAAAAAAAGAGTAAGAAATAACCTATCTTTCATTCTTTTAGGGAGGGAAAAAAAAGTAGATGAATTGCATTACATCAAGAGGTAGCTGAGGTACATATTAGAACAGTCTTTCTAGTGGGAAGGGCAGTCATGCATTGGGATAGATTGCCTGGGGAAGTTGCAAAACTGTCGCAGGTCTCTGTTGGTCTTTAGAAAAACACAACAGGTAGAGGTGAAAGTCAAGCAAAGTTTCTGGCTGTTAAGAGTAGGAGTGGACCAGATTACGTATTTTTTTCTCAAATAAACTAGAGCTATTATCTGGATCATAAAAAGATGCCCCAGATTTTGAGTATCATTTTTAGGTCCTTATTCTTTAGAAGTGTGTTAGTCTCTGAAGTGTGGACATGAGAACTGGCAACAATAATCCAGTCATATATCTTTCTTCTCAGCTTATGCTTGGTATTTCCGTGTTAATTTATCAAGAAAATTTCCCTTTTGAGATACTAATATGTCAGCAACAGTTTCAGCTAGTAGAGTTCTGGATTTCAGCTGCCCAGATCTCAATACACTTTACAGAAACATTGACTAAATTATTCTTCGTAACATTCCTTCAGCTCAAGTAGATAATTAACTGTAGCTGGGAATATGACATGTTTCATTCATGGAAGACAGGCTGAATTTCTGGCTATCACAAGTGCTATCTCATATGTCAAGTGAAATTTCTACCTACTGAGAAAGTTTGGACTTCTTCTCTGTTTGCATCCTTTACGATGCTGATGGTTTCTTTTATAACCCAAAGAAGCGTATTAATTCCTTTATTTGGCCTTGGACTGCAGCACAGACCTCCTGAGCTATTCTGTACAGAGATACACTTGCAAGCATAATGCAGTGGAAAACAAATTCACCTTTCATCCCTACTATGGGTGACAAAACAAATATCAGTTGTTACTTAGCTTAGTGCTGCTAAGAAAATGTTCTGGTTATTGTTATGTCAAAGAGGCAAAGACTGCCAAATCTGTAAGAACAGAAATGTGTTTCAGTGAAATATTTAAAACATGAAGGGCAAGATTTATTATTAGACTCCTGAGGATATAAGGAGATCAACAGGGGAAAGAAAGGCTAAGATTTGGAACTAAAGTGTGAGCCCTTGTCTGGGGTATGCTGGTGAGGCAAGTGGAAGGGTTAAAGGAGGAAAAAGCAGGTTAAAAGCCTTAGTTATGGGAATAGAGGGGAAAATGGAAAGATGATGAAAGGTTCTGATAGGCTTTGTTAGTGTTTTTCTTGAAAGACTTTAGGGAACTCTTGTGCAGAGAAAGAAGCTGATGAAAGAATTTCAGTAGTAAGTTCACAGTTGCAAAAGAATATTTCAGATGAGGATGTGAACCTCATTGTGTTAGAGAAGCAGAGTTTAAAGGTGAAAAGTTTGACCCTAAGAAGGATCATAAAATTGTGAAATCCAGTTGGAAGGGACCCATAAGAATAACTGAGTCCAATTCCCTGCTTCTTGCAGGACCACCTGAAATTAAACCTTATGGCTAAGAACATCATCCAGATGTTTCTTGAAATCTGACACTCTTAGTGCCGTGACCACTGCCTTGGGAGCCTGTTCCAGGGACTTCCTACCCTATCAGTGAAGAATATCATCCTAATGTCCAATCTGAACTCCCCCTGATGCAACTTCATTCTGCTTCCTCGTATCCTGTCACTCGTCACCAGAGAGAGGAAATCAGCACAGTCCCCTTTGCTGCCCTCTGTGACAAGGTATAGTAGACTGCTATGAGGTCCCACCTCAGCCTTCTCCGAGCTGAACAAACCAAGTGACCTCAGCTGCTCTCCTAAGTCATTTGCAGTCTTGGTCACCCTCCTCTGGACACACTCTAATGGTTTGAAGTCTGTCTCACATTGAGGTACCCAGAGCTGCACACTGGGTTTGAGGTGGGGCTGCACTAGAACAGTGCTCAGTGGGACCCCCCACTGGACCAGCCAGCTCTGCTGGGTGCACCCCAGGGCACAGTTGGCCCTTTTGGCTGCCAAGCCACCCTGTTGACTCATTCAGCTTACCATCAAACTGATAGAATTACTTGATTGGAGAAATATTCAAAATTAATGTGAAGAGCCCATTTTTTCCTTTTATTTGAGACAAATACTTTCAGAACAGCTTCAGAAGATAGTGCGCTCAGCAAGTGCTGATGCAGTTGATGCAAACTGGACAGACAGACAAAAAGCGTATCAGGTACAACTGGAATAAAGCTCAGGCAAATTGCTTTGTCTTCCTTTGAGCTGAACAGGAGTTGTTCTATGGGAAATGGAAAGAAGTAAAATACAGGTGAAATACAATAAAGAGAAAATTAGGCTTCCTCTAGGCCAAATCTTACAACCACAAACACTCTGGAAATAGTTCATCACAGATACCAGAGATTCTCTAATGCGTCTGCTAGTAGCCCAGCATACTGGAGGGGTATGATTTCTGAACAATCTGTTAGGACTTGTGCATTTGGCTCATGTGTCTGCTTGGAAATAATTTGTCCTTCCTCAGTGGCCTATGCAAATATAAGGTGTCCATAGTTTAGCATCTTTCCTCTAAAGCATATAATTTATATCCTGGAATCACAGGATTGTTAAGGTTGGAAGGGATCCCTGGAGGTCATCTAATCCAACCCTCCTGTTCAGAGAGAGGTTTTTCATTAATGTAGTTGCCCTGGGCCATGTCTGATTGGGTTTTGAGTATCTCCAGGCTCCACAGCCTCTGTAAGCAATCTGTTCCCCTGATCGATCAGTGGAAAAGGTCATTAATAAATAGCCTAAACAGCATTTACTCCTGGGCTACTTCACTTGTGGCCAGCCCTCAGCTGGACTTTGTGAAACTGATTGAAACCCTCTCACTCTAGCGTTTCAGCTTGTTTTCAGTCCACTGTCCACCTACCTAGTTTATATTCCATCAATTTGTAAATTAAGATTTTACATGGGATGGTGTCAAAAGCCTTTCTAACTTTTTCAGCACTGGGCTTTTGCTTAGATGCTCTTTCAAAGACCCAAAGATCTTTTGGCATATTTGGATCCATCTCATCTTTCTAGTTCATAATTTGTGATAGGTTAGCATGGGAGGTACTAAAGAGTTGTTGTGGGCAAAGATCCTGACATGGCAATCAGAGGAGTGACTAGTCTGTTTCTTAGCTGGGGAAGCAAACTAGTCCTGGATGGGCCCCAACTTAACTCAGTGCTGCAGTCCTTTTTTTTGCTTCATGGGTTAGAATAATCAAATGTGTTTCTGGGAAAAGATGTGTCTCTGAAAAGGCCTCACCAATATGGTTTGTACACACAAATCTACATTCTCCTTCTCCTGAAGCTGAAGTTTTTTCCAAGAATCATTTAAAGGTGGCTGCTTGCTATTTAAAGATCTAGGTCCCTACCTTAATGTGCAGTAGCACCTCTTTTTCACACATCATGAAGTGTCAGAGCCAAGTGCAAACATAACAGTCTTCATGCTTGTGTAGCTTGTTATGAACTGCAGTATTGTAAATAGACCGTGTCAGGGCATGCCATCTCTATGCTATCACTCCTTGCTAACAAGAGTGAAACAAAATGTTCTGAGTACAGTTAGGTAATCAGAAGTTAGGACATTTCCCTTTTGTCACCCATAAAGTAGCTAAAAGATCTTCTTTGCTGTTGAGCAAGATTTCAAAATATTTTGGAAAGACTAATGGAATAATTTCCCCTGCCCTGTTGTAGTAGGCTTCTGGCTTTGTCACATGGAGATCATTTCCACTTGCTAATACTCTACCAAGTGTTTTGAAATAGGAATTTGTCAGTAGTCTTGGTAGCTCACTTCAGTCAACAGCTGCCTTAGACTTTACAACTTCAGTCCAAGCTGTCCCTTTATTTTTGGCAAATAGGGTTTTGGCTCACTGGTCAATTGTTCTCTCTGAAATTAAGAATTCTTTTGAAAATCAGATGTTATTAGATGTCATTTGTGGGATTTTGAAGACTGTTTTCTTTTCCTCGTTACTTCAAGAGCCTGATACTGTGAAATCTGGTCTATTTTTCTTTGTCTTACCCACTAGAAACCAAATTGTTATTAATTCCTCAATTAATGCAGGCACCGTGGGTGACTCTTTTCAGCATTTAAAAAAGCTGACTTGCATCCTTGGGAAGAAGTAATCTTCCACATTGAATTAATATTATTTTTATTTAAATATAGAAGTACTATTAATTCAAAACTGTTTTAGATGCTGCTACTGTGCCAACTATCATGGGAGTGATAACATGCTTAGGAATTCTGAACATAACAAATGACGTGATTCTTTTTTTTAACAGCATGCCATCTTCCTGAGACTTAAACACTGCCCTGTCAGAGAAAAAGGAAATGTTAGTTTCTCAAAATGACAGTTTATAAATTGTCTGAAGTAGTTGTAGTGAGATAGTACTCATCAGCACTCTCTTGGTGACCCAGCGTTTACTTCCAGCCCAGCTATTTCTATCATGGATGTGCACTGAAAATGAGTCCTCAACAGTCACCCTGAATTATCTTTGCCATTTAAATCTGCGTTCATGCAATTTAATGTCAAGGTTAGCAAGGGATCCTGCAGCTTGGCAAGCCTCCAGGGACACAAGGGGTTTCAGGCAGCTGGTGCAGTTTGAGTGAGAAGCCCAGGTGCTCTGCTCAGGGCCCCTGTGCAGACTGCCCAGCCGGTGGCCTTTCCTGAGGGACAGCAGTGCCGGGACGCCCGCTTGGATTTTGTTATGTCGCCTTCCCACTGCTGGTGACCTTTGCTGTTCCAGCACTCATCTCTTGTCTCCGTTTCCCCTGATTTTGTGTAGGTGCTGGGATGGCTGGAGAAGGTGACGACTTGCAGTTGAGCTGAGGGAGGCGTGAAGCATCATCCATCCCCTGCTTACATTTGAGGTAGTGTGATAACTTTTCTCTTACCTGCAAGTGACTTTATTATGAGTGTTGGCTAAGCAGAGTGATCCAGTAAGAGCTCTGCAGATAATCCTCACAGATCCTATGATCTGTTCCTACAGGAGGTGATGATGATGATAATATACAGTATACAGAATTCTTACTGGGATCCAACTGTCATATTTCATTACCCTGAATGATAGACATATTTGAGTTAAGGCTGTAAAATTCAATCCTGGTGTAAACTGGTCGCTTCAAGCCCATTTTTACCAATCTCTAGTAGCCAGCATTGGAGATAAAGGGTTTGATAACTGCTAGAAGTGGTTGTCAGAGAAAAATTACTATGCTGTATTTTAATGAGCCATTTCTCATTTACAGTGTTATTTAAAGTATTAATTGCTTGGCTTAAAATGCACAATATTGAAACAGATGGAGAAAAATGCATGTTTTTGCAGGGAGAGAGAAAGGGAAAATGCAAATCAGGATGCTGGACATGGATTCTGGTTTATATGACACTTAAATGACATCTAGTTTGTATGTGTGTATGTGATCTAATTCATATCTGCAGTGTATTACCGAAAGTTTAATCAGATTACATTGGGGTAAATTTGAATCAATCACAGAAATACACTGTAGTATAAGGGATTTGGATGTATGATTGCTTATGCCTTGGAACTGGAAAGCTGCTATCTAGTATTAAATGGCTGCTTGAGATTTTACAGCTGCTGTCTGTGTACTATAGCAGTTTTATGAGACTTAACTGATTATTCGTGCCTAAGTGTAAACAAATTTAATATCATTAAATAGAAGAGAAAATCTAGAGGCTTCTTCCTTTGATTGCAATAACAATAGGTAAAACTTGCCACTCTATATCTATGTTTTTAAAGTTTCTGAAACCAGGTGGTAGAACTCTTGATGCATTTGTTGCACCCTAGATCTCTACTTGGGAGGCTTATCTAAGGATATTCCAATTTCACTAAGAAAATAAGAAGGTCAGAGTAGTGAAAAAATATGAAAATGCAAATAAAGTAGGTGCATCTTTGAGTCATTAGGGACCTCCTCAGCCAAAGTGTGCTTTGTTGTGGTTACTATGCCTTCTCACACAGAATTAACCACCCCTGGAAAACAATTTGTGAATGACTTCTCTCATTTTGTAGCTGAAGCATGGCAATACAACTATACAGAAATCTGCATGTGTGCTCTTTGTTCCCTTGCTTTCCGTGCCCAGCCTCTTCATCCCTAGCTAGGCTGCCTGTTCCCAGTTCCTCTGAGCAGCAGTGCAAGAAGCACTCCCAGCACTGGGAACACAGGTTGGATGTGGGGTCTGGCTTTACCTCTGAGCTCCACCACAGGAACACTCAGGGGTTCTGCCACTCCCTGTAACTTCGGTGTGTTTCAGATTCCTATTTGTAAATAAAAGCTAATTGTTCTTAACTTGAAGAAGGGGCCAAATCATCGCAAACCTTAGGAAGTGCTGTTACAAACACGGCGCCTGTCATACTTGTTGTGATAGAAGCTGTGTTACCAGAGAAGGGTTCAAACCCTTTGCATTTAACCATGGGCTTCAAAATTGGTAGTGGATTCCTGGATAGCAAAAACCATTTCTGTGGTGCTTTTTCACTTGATATTTTCCACTAACTAGAGATAAAGAACATTTTGGCACAGAGAAGAGGAACCAGCTAACTGTAAGGGTAATGTGATTATAGGGGAGGGAAGATTATGCTGACCAGATACCTTCAAAAGGACATGGCTATAATTTATATTAGCTAAGTCAAGTAAGTTTTAGATTAAGAGCTGGAAATGCTATAACTGCCCCTATGTAGATCAGTTAATTTCTGAACCTTCATACAACTGCCTTTCAGTACACGTCTGACAATATCAGCCCCAGATTCAGTCATCTGGAGGCAAGTTTACTAGTTCTTCTGTGCAATTAAGACATTTAATGCATTATGCACAGTGGGAAATGTCCATCTGTACATTTTCTAGGCTGCAATTAATAGTGTTCTACTCTGAATGAGGTTTTTGTTTATCCTAAATGAATATGTCGCATTCTTTCCTTAAAAATTAAATGGATGCCTTGTTATTTCAAGACTGGGATACTGACCATAGATGTGGCAAGACTAATTTTTGCCACATTGACATTTACGATCCCAATGGAAGGTAACACTTGAGACACAGCTTTAAATAGATTTTGACATTGCTGGTAGTTTTACTGAATGTCCTGGGGAAAAAAATTAGTAACTGGCCAAAAGAACAGAGAGGTTTGTAAATAACTGCTGTAACATATTCCAGCAACCGTAATTTCTTTAGCATTAAAACTTATCCAGCTACCAGGTCAGCACACATCTCTGCCCTTTAAATAAAGCTCTGCTAAGTGGCTTGCTGTGGAATACAACATACAGAGTACAGAAACCATTTGCGATGCTATGAAAGCCTGAGAAAAGCTAAGAGCACAGAAATAAAACTGACTGTTCCTTCACAGTTCAGAAAAAAAAATAGGAATACAGGGCTTCTCATTTTGAACAGCCTTATAAAAGTTCAAGGAAGGGCTTTCCTGCACTAAAAATGTCAATAACACAATAAATGCATCCATTGGTTTAATACCAACATGCTGTAATACTTTTCTCATCATGCAGTTTGTTTGATGTTAGGCTACTACAAGTCAGATATCCACCATGTGTAGGTTATGTCTGCTAGCTTGAAACTGAAGTCAGATGCAAATTATTCAATCAATTGTGATATTAATAGATCAGAGACATGTATACTTAACTAAAAAATAATAAGAAATTATAAAAAATAAAAAACAAAGCACTCTTTTTTTTTTTTTTTGATTCATGGCTGCTCCTCATATTTTACTTCATTAGTCATGATACATTTAGAAAGGTTTGCTTTTCTAGCATTTAATAATACAGTCAACAGTAGGACAATTTAATTGGCTGTTAAAAAAATTGAGTTGAATTGTACTGCCATTGAGTCATCTGTAACTGCAGATTTGAAATCAAAGTTAAGATTCAGTTTGAACAAGTCTGACAAAGTCAGGTATTATGTCTTGGTAAAGGGCTACAGGCAGTTATATTTTATTAACCACTGTGTGTAAAATAGAAATGAAACTAGGAATGTTAACTTTAAAATATACTGTACAAAGTAATTGCTTAATGCTGTGTTGTGCTTTGGGTTTTTTTTAAAGACTCATTAATAGCCACCTATATTCTGAGTAAAGTATCCTATAAGTGTATTGTTTGAGAATTAGTTATGGAAAACAGATTTTCCAGACTAAATATACTACAGTAAACTAGTGCGAAGAACCAGATTAGATAAATCTGTGGAAAGATATCCTCCTACATGTGGCTCAGCATGCTATAAAAATGCACTCCAGCAGTTCAGGTCTCATACTGTACATACTCCTGCAGGGTTTATTATGTGTGATTACTAAAAATATGTCCATATGGTCTGATCTTTGCCAGTCGTATGTGGGAAGTAAATCTGGATTTTGGAAAGGCTAAGCTTGATGTTCCCACTTTGCTGCAGTGGTCCTGCTGTTAGCTCAAGAAACATCAGACTGTCTTACTGCATCCACCCTCGGTATCTTACCCCATCCAGCCTCTGTGCCCTCCTCTGTGGAAAGCAGTTGGTCCTTTTCACTGTGCTTTGCAACTCTCCTCCTCCCATCCCTTTTCCTCATGAAGGCAGTTGGCCTCCCACTTCCATCGCTAACAGACGTCAGGAAATAGGAAATAAAAGTAAAGGAGGGCAGCAAGGTTCTGGAAAAGCACAGTTCCCCGTAACTCCCTGCATCGATGGCAGCAGGAGGAAGCCAAGGCCTCCTTTGGGCTGTGGATGGCAGAAAAATCTGCTTCAGGCACCCCTCATGGCTATAAGAGCCATTTCTCATCTTCTACTGGCACAAATAACACAAGCTGGATGGCATCATCTCATAGGCTAGATCTGGTTTCTGCAGTACATGCCATAAATAAAAAACGAATAATCCAGTTTTCATTAAAGAAAGAAATTCTGTGCCTGCTTTTCAGCTGTTTTTCTGTAAAGCTGTACCACCATCTAATTTGTGCTACAGCTCCTAGTAACAGGTAGCTTCCAAACACATCAGTGACTTCAAAGTACTGCTCCCAGTAGGACAAATTCTTCAGTAAGGTAGTTGCTTAAAAAAATTGCACCCTTCATGATACAAGTTTTCTACCATTTCTGTAGCACAAAACTTCAACTTTTCAGACTCAAAACTGTTTTCTGCTTTCTTTGTAAACATGTATGTAGATAGAGCTAGCAGCATCTGTGGCAAGAACAAGCATCTGTATCAAAGGAACGCACATATATTAAGACTTAAAATTTAAAAAAAAAAAAAAATCCTAATATAGAACAAGAAGACACAGGAACATTAAAATACAACTGCAATCTCTACATTTTGAGGTCTTTCCTCACTAAGAAGGAACAGCTGAGCTATTCAGAAGAAAGCTGGCTGACCTGCAGTATGTGCTTTTTCTCTGAGTTTTATCAGTCTATCATTAAGTGTGTCTGAGACTGGAAGAAAGCCTGCTCTCCTAGCGAGATAAAAACTCCTTTCCAAGCTAGCCAAAACCAGACCCTTCTTAGCCAAGAAAGTAATATATAGACCACTGAGTAATCCTGCAATTAAGTGTTCACTGCAGCCTGTAAAACAGCTGGCATCTGTATTCACTTTTTAAGCTATGAAAGGACTACAAACTTCAAGGGGCTTGGAGGTGTGTTTTTTTTTTATATGTGATTAAAGCACCCTGTGTCAATTTATATTCAAAGCTAGCTGGTTGGTAAGTTGTCGAAAATAATTGCAGACTATCACTTTTAAATCTCTGAAAGCAGCAACAGAATGATATCTTCCTTCATGAACTATACTGAGTTGTTACTCTTTCTAGTGTACAAGTCTGGTCACCTGTTATGAAGCCTGATTGCTGAAGAAAAACTTGGATGAAATAAGTGCACTAAAAATCAGAACTAATGTATGCATCAGGACA